GTTGCTGCTGTTGTTCTTGCTGTGTACTAATCTTGTTGTGTGTCAATAATAATAATAATAATAATAATAATAATAATAATAATAATAATAATTTAATCAATCAATCAATCAAACCAATCAATCAATCAAATCAGTTTAGAACCCAAAACAAGATAGTGCCACTTCTAGTTACATCAGCTATGGTTTTTCCAAAGAAAGAGTTGCTCCCTGAGGTTTTATTCTTTCCAGGCAGCTATAAAATCCTGTTTCTCTTCCACTGTTGGGCAGTTGCAATCTGCAATCCTAATCTTTAAAAGAACAGCAATTTACTGTCCCTGGTAGCAAATGCTTAAGAACACACACACGCTCACGAAAAGTAAGGAAATTGTTCAAAATAAGTTTTCCTTGGCTCTCCTTCATCAAACTGTTGGGTTGGAACATTGTGAGTTTTAATGCTCTCAAATCGCATGCCTTTAGCCCCAGGCAGAAACTCAACAGGTGTTTCTTTCCTAATCTCTGATTTTTACTCAAGCCCATTTCCCCCTGCTGAATTTTTGTCCATGTAGAAATTTCCAGGGACAGGCGACCTGACATAAATCCTTCCTTCCAGCAGTATATACCCAGGGCAGTTTCTTGCTGGGTCACATTGGCTTCGTGACTGGAGAGAACTTAGCTCTTGATTATTGTGCCGTTGCTCAACACACTCTCAACAGCTTGGCGCTGCTACCAAAAACATGTGTCGACGAGAGCTGTGACTTGGATGCTTCTTGGCGGATGAAGTAATCTGTCAATCAGGTTGTCATGTGCCAAACCTGACACGGGGATGTGCACAATCCACACACTCTTAACTTACCAGCTGCTTATGCGGTATAGCCTTCTGCTGGGTTGCCAGATGGCTGTGCCAGAAGTTTACTGACACAGCCAAAATTTCATCGTCCATTCAAAACTTAAGTGTGATTGCATTTCTCAGTATGGCTTCTCTGTTCTCTGTAAGATGAAAGGTTTTTCCCCACAAACTGGTCTTGCTGCATGTGTCCTTACACCGTCTCCACCTACGCTAACGATTTCATGCAATTCAAGGCTAGCTTTGTATTGTGATGACCAGACAACAATATTCCCAAAATGTATGTGAAAGAAAGGCCTTAATGAACCTCAGTGCTCATGGGTTTGTGTCTATTATTATTATTATTATTATTAATCTGCCATTCTCCCTGAGGGGACTCATAGAGAATTATAGTATATATAAATAGACATGGGCAAACATTAAATGTCAACTAACTCCTCCCAACGCCAGGCGAGAATGCTACTGGAAAATGGTGATACATCCCGGAAAACTCACAACAACCCACATTCATTGCCTTATTACAATTGAAGGGAGATGTTGACAAGCTGGAATGTGTCCAGAGGGCAACTAAAATGATCAAGGGTCTGGAGAACAAGCCCTATGAGGAGCGGCTTAAAGAGCTGGGCATGTTTAGCCTGAAGAAGAGAAGGCTGAGAGGAGACATGATAGCCATGTATAAATATGTGAGGAAGTCATAGGGAGGAGGGAGCAAGCTTGTTTTCTGCTGCCCTGGAGATTAGGACAAGGAACAATGGCTTCAAACTACAAGAAAGGAGATTCCATCTGAAATGAGGAAGAACTTAACTGTGAGAGCTGTTCAGGAGTGGAACTCTCTGCCCCGGAGTGTGGTGAGGCTCCTTCTTTGGAGGTTTTTAAACAGAGGCTGGATGGCCATCTGTCGGGGGTGCTTTGAATGCAATTTTCCTGCTTCTTGGCAGAGGGTTGGACTGGATGGCTCATGGGTCTTTTCCAACTCTATGATGCAATGATTCTATGATTCTACATACAATGAGACACAGAAAAAGGCAAAGGCTTCTCCTTTCATTTCCAGTTCTGGAGGTGGTGCTCATCTCCGACTCTGGGAGAAGAGCTCTTTCTCCATTTGCAAGCCGAGAAGCCTGCGTCCATAGACACCTCTTGGTTGTGTAGTCAACATGACTGCTTGGAGTGTCTTCTTGCCTTTTTCCGCCAAAGCGGTACCCCTTCATTTACTCACATTTGCATGTTTTTGAACTGCTAAGTTGGCAGGAGTTAGGGCTAACAGTGGGAGTTCACCCCATCTCATGGATTCAAACTGCCAACCTTCAGGTCCGCAGTTCAGCAGCACAAGTGTTTAATATATTGTGCTATGGGTATGAGAAACAGCAGAAATCTGTTCCATTTCTGGATGCCCTCCTCCTGTTCCGTTTTCGGGAAAATTCGGGAGATTCGAGAGGATGGTGTTGATCTGTAATTCAAAATATGGAGCTCTGTTTTCATTCCAAGAAGATTTGGTCCATTGGTGCCAATTGGGAAACTGGCAAGGCTCATCTTTCCGTCATTTTTATGGCAATCAGAATGAAACTTGCCACAATTGTAGAACACATTTACGATGGCAAGCCGGTCAAGTTTCAAATCCTTTTGCTAATCAACTGATTTTTACCAATGACATATTTTTTAAAAACCCACAAGAGAGGTTTTTGGGATTTTAAGTCCAAACAGCACATGCCACTTAAAGGGATTGGCTGAGAAACGTGATGCAGCCAGTCTGGCTACGCTCGCCGCTCACACCCATTGCCCCACCATGGATAGATGGCTGCTTATGCTTACAAAACAAGCAAACAGATAGAATACTAACGATGATAAATAAGCCAGAATCAACTAATCCAGTGGTTCTCAACCTGTGGGTCCACAGATGTTTTGGCCTTCAACTCTCAGAAACCCTAACAGCTGGTAAACTGGCTGGGATTTCTGGAAGTTGTAAGCCAAAACACCTGGGGACCCACAGGTTGAGAACCACTGAACTAATCTTTCCCGAATTTAGCTGGAAGATTCGGCAGCTCATGTTTCGTCCCTATCCTTTCCAGTTCGTATTCAGCACTTTGGCTGCCAAATTGCTGAAATTATCCAAATTGCAAATTGATTTCAGGAATTCTACACACCTCTACTAATTGCCATCTGGGCCTCAAATTGGTTCCAGCGCTATCATCTACACAGTGAAACCACCTTCTTTATTACCAGTCTGAAGCTGCATTAAATGGTCAGTGTGGATGGGGCCACATTCCTTCTCAATACAGGTTAAGCTCCCTTTGTCTGGAATTCCAGAACTCAAAATACTCCAAATTCCAAATTTGTCCACCTTTGCTTTCTGACCGTTCTGTTTACACAAACTTTGTTTCACACACCAAAATTGTTGAAATTATTGTACAGAGTTACTGTGATGATGGCAGAACGTTGTTAGTGGTCATAGAAACTCACAAGAGGACCTTGTGAATATCTTGAATGCCAGGTGACTACACTGCATTGGAGAAATTACACTGTTTAGCATTGCACCACCTGACATCCGCCAGGAAGTAGCAACCAATAATGAAAGGACCAAAGCAGTGACATCTCCGGCACATCCTCTGTTTGGGTATCAGCCAGCACGCCAACGACTTAAATCAAGAAATAGTTTTCTTAGATCTACAGAGACACTCGCTGGAACACCTCAGCAAGCGAGAGTCCAAAAGTGGCAGGCTCAAACCCAGAACCTCAATCAATGGCTGATACCAAATGAGAGACTACCTCCTGGGCACAAAGAAAACTGGGTGACTTGGAAGGAGCTGAACAGACTGCGCTCTGGCACCACGAGATGCAGAGCCAACCTTAAGAAATGGGGCCACAAAGTTGAATCCACGACATGCGAGTGTGGAGAAGAGCAAACCACAGACCCCCTGCTGCAATGCAACCTGAGCCCTGCCACGTGCACCATGGACCTTCTTGCAGCAACACCAGAGGCACTCCAAGTGGCCAGATAGTGGTCAAAGGACATTTAATAGAATACCAAGTCTGCAAATTTTGTGTTTTGTTTGTTTTGCTGTTTTTTTTTAATGCAATTCAACTATTTTGGTTCGCTCCTCACATGATAAATAAATAAACTACACTGCTGCAAAGTTATGACAAAAGAAAATGCAGGCAAACATTCAGTTCAATACCCCCCCCCCCCCCCCCCCGAAACCCAAACCCTCAGTTCATGAAAATTCTTCGGGCAGCCTCCCATTCCAGTCTGAGCTGGTTCGTGTTTACAGCCTCTTCTCAGGCTAGGCCCAAATTATCAGCCTCTTTCCCAGGCTGGGCCTCCAAATGTTTTGCATTGCTTCAACCTGGGTTGGACTCGTGGCATGGAGGCATCATGACAAGTTACCTTCAGGCTATGTGTATAAGGTGCCTCTTTCCTAGATACCTCATTATGTACATCTCAGCCAACACACTTCTGGTCCCAAGCATTTCAGATAAGGAGAAGAGCAAACTACAGACCATCTGCTGCAATGCAACCTGAGCCCTGCTACATGCACCATGAGATGCAAAGCCAACTTTAGGAAATGGGGCCAGAAAGCGGAGTCCATGACATGCGAGTGTGGAGAAGAGCAAACCACTGACCACCTGCTGCAATGCACCCTGAGCCCTGCCACATGCACAATGGAGGACCTTCTTGCGGCAACACCAGAGGCACTCCAAGTGGCCAGAGACTGGTCAAAGGACATTTAATCAACTACCAAGCTTGCAAACTTTGTGTTCTGTTTGTTTGTTAAAAAATGCAATGCAATTGTTTGGTCTGCCCCTGACACGATAAATAAAAAATAAATAAATAGCAGCTCAGCAGTTTAACCCACTGTGCTATCAGGAGCTCCTTAGCTGCCCTGGCTCAATGTAATAAAATCCTGGGAATTTTTAAGTTGGAGAGGCAGGAGCTCTCTTTGGCAGAGGAAGCTGAAGCCCTTGTAAAAACTGCAACTCCCAGCTAGCGTAGTCAACGAGTGCTCCTTTCTTCTTTCTTCGTGGGGTGAGAGACAGAATACAAAAAAGGCGAGAGGAGGAGAGTGAAAAGCGAAAGTAGAGCAAAGGCGACTTGGGGCATGCTTGTTGCAAGGGAGCTAGCTGGGCGTGGGTCCAAAGTATCTCCAAAGCCAAGAGGGAGGGAAAACTTTGCAGGGAGAGGCGAGGGGCGTGGGTGAAGCAGAGGGCCCAGCTCGGGGGCAGGAGCAAGATTAGCATCAAGGGCTGATCCAGGCGAAAAAGCAGCCCCCTTTTTCTCCTGACTTGCGCGCAAAGGGAGAGGAAAGCCGAGCAGAGCAGAGCTTGCGTGCCACGGTTGGTTTGCATTCGCGTTTGGTTCAAGAGGAGCCAAGGCGCGCGCTTCTGCAAGGGCTGGGTGGTGGGTTGAGTGTGTGTCTGTGCAAAAGAGGCCCATGCCTTTCTTGCAGCTATAGATCAATAATAATTATTATAATAATATATGTATGCATGTGCTTTTTGTGTGCTTTCAAGTCGTTTCCAACGCAGAGCCACCCCAAAGGCAAAAACTACCCTGAATCCACTTTAAATCCGGTTGCTGCCTCTTGCAGAGTTCTGGGATTTATAGTTTAGGGAGGCGCCTTTAACAGCCACACTAAACTACAAACTCCAGAATTCTGCAGGACGCAGAAACCGGATTTAAAGTGGGTTCATTCTCTAGAAGGCTTTCATGGCCAGAATCACTGGGTTGTTGTAGGATTTTCAGGCTGCATGGCTATGTTCCAGAAGCAGCAAAAAGCCACACCTTGAAACCTTGCCTTAGGACCCTTCCGCCCAACCCTATATCCCAAAATATCAAGACTGAATATCCCACAATATCTGCTTTGAACGAGGTTGTGTTGTCTGAGTCCACACTGCCATATATTCCAATGCAAAGGACATATTGTGGGATTTTCTGCCTTGATATTCTGGGATAGAGGGCTGTGTGGAAGGGCCCTCAGTGTTGCAATAAATTGGAAGTGCTCTAATTGCACAAAGAGGAGGAAGAGGGAGGAAAAATTGCATAAGGGTAAAACAATGCAGTTATAAAACCATGTTGGGTTTGCTTGCCTTCCTCGTTTGCCTTTGCAAGGAAGCTTCCTTCCCCCTTCCCCATTTCTACCTGCCAAAACTGCACCTAGGCCTTTCCCCAAAAGCAAAGGCATACAAAACATGGACGACCTTTTGCAAAAGAAGCTTGTGTGTGTGTGTGTGTGTTTAAAACCCTGTTAGGTTCATCAGAGGGCCCGTTAACACAGATATATAACCTTAAATATCAAGGCAGATAATCTACAATATGGGTTGTTTTAGGTTTTTCGGGCTATATGGTTATGTTCTAGAAGCATTCTCTCCTGACGTTTTGCCTGCATCTATAGCAAGCATCCTCAGAGGTAGTGAGATCTGATGGAGCTAGGAAAATTGGGTTTATATATCTGTGGAAAGTCCAGAGTGGGAGAAAGACCTCTTGTCTGTTGGAGCTAGGTGAGATGGCTTCTTATGTTTTTATCTATATATGGAGCAACTAAACCATGCTGAGATAATTCAGTTCATAAAATCATAGAATCACAGAGTTTGAAGAGACCTCATGGGCCATCCAGTCCAACCCCCTGCCAAGAAGCAGGAAAATTGTCAAAGCACCCCGACAGATGGCCATCCAGCCTCTGTTTAAAAGCTTCCAAAGAAGGAGCCTCCACCACACTCCGGGGCAGAGAGTTCCACTGCTGAACGGCTCTCACAGTCAGGAAGTTCTTCCTCATGTTCAGATGGAATCTCCTTTCTTGTAGTTTGAAGCCATTGTTCCCTTGCGTCCTAGTCTCCAGGGAAGCAGAAAACAAGCTTGCTCCCTCCTCCCCGTGGCTTCCTCTCACATATTTATACATGGCTATCATATCTCCTCTTAGCCTTCTCTTCTTCAGGCTAAACATGCCCAGCTCCTTAAGCCGCTCCTCATAGGGCTTGTTCTCCGTACCCTTTATCATTTTAGTCGCTCTCCTCCCTGATTGTTTCCTCTCTTCTGTTGTGCTGTTGTAATTTTAGAGTTTTTTTTTAATACTGGTAGCCAGATTTTTGTTCATTTTCATGGTTTCCTTCTTTCTGTTGAAATTGTCCACATGCTTGTGGATTTATTATTTATTTATTATTATTTATTTAGGGCTTTTATATCCCGTCCTTTCTCAACCTCTGCAGAGGGACTCAGGACGGCTAACTAAGTGGCACCCCATGGTGCCCACATCAAAACATAAATATGCAATTAACATCAATGTAATAATAACAATATAAAACAATACAAACTGTATAAAACCATATAAACAATAAAAAATATAAAAACAGACAACAAATACAATGATTTCAATGGCTTCTCTGTGTAGTCTGACATAGTGGTTGTTGGAGTGGTCCAGCATTTCTGTGTTCTCAAATAATATGCTGTGTCCAGGCTGGTTCATCAGGTGCTCTGCTATGGCTGACTTCTCTGGTTGAAGTAGTCTGCAGTGCCTTTCATGTTCCTTGATTCGTGTTTGGGCAATGCTGCTGCGTTTGGTGGTCCCTATGTAGACTTCTCCACAGCTGCACGGTAGACTCCTGCAGAGGTGAGAGGATCCTTCTTGTCCTTTGCTGAACGTAGCATTTGTTGGATTTTCTTACTGGGTCTGATGTTGTGTTTCCTCATCAGCTTTCCTATGCGGTCAGTGGTTACCTTGATGTATGGCTAGAATACTTTCCCTTTGGGTGGATTCCCCCAGGCACTAACAAGCCACACCAAACAACTGCCAGGCCATCAAATGCTAATCAAGGTGGCCAGTTGAAACGTTCACACCTAGCTCCAACAGACAAGAGTTCTTTTTCCCACCCTGGACATTCCACAGATAAATAAACCCAATTTTCCTAGCTCCAACAGATCTTACAACCTCTGAGGATGCTTGCGATAGAAGCAGGCGAAACGTCAGAAGAGAATGCTTCTAGAACATGGCCATATAACTCAAAAAACCTACAACAACCCAGTGATTCCAGCCATGAAAGCTTTTGACAATACAATCTACAATATACTTGAACTCTGTATCTGAGTCCACACTGCCATATAATCCAGTTTAATGTGGACCTTATAAAACTGTATGGAAGGGGCCTGAGGTTGCCATAAGTTGGGAAGCACTTGAAGGGACACAACAATACACTGAGAGAAGGAAGGAAGCAATAATGAAATCTAAAACTGTCCAATACTAAAACAATTCACCTGTTGAGCCTTTCTGTTCCACCTTTAGAGGCCTGCCTGCACAATTGGCACCCAGACTTTGACCCAAAGCAAAGGATCCCACCTCGAAAAGGAGGGCAAACTTTTGTAAAAGAGTGTGTGCATTTGGAAATGAAAAGCTTCTGCCGTCAAAGAGCATTCTGAACTTCACCAACAATTGAATTGAACTAAACTTGGCATACAGGACTCCCATGACCAACAGAAAATGCTGGAGATATTTTTGGGAAAATAGACCCTGACATTTCGGAGTTGCAGTTGCTTTGAAATATGGTTGCTTTGAAATATAGTTCCCCTGTCATTAAAGTTTTTGCTCGTGTTCAGGTGGAATCTCCTTCCGTGTAGTTTGAAGCCATTGTTCCGCGTCCTTGTCTCCAGGACAGCAGAAAACAAGCCTGTTCCCTCCTCCTTATGACTTCCCCTCACATATTTATACATGGCCCTCACCATGTCTCCTCTCTGCCCTCTCTTCTGCAGGCTAAACATGCCTAGTTCTTTAAGCTGCTCCTCATAGGGTCTGTTCTCCAGATCCTTGGTCATTTTAGTCTCCCTATGGACACATTCCAGCTTGTCAACATGTCCATTCAATTGTGGTGCCCAGAATTGGACACAGTGTGATTCCAGGTGTGGTCCGACCAAGACAGAATAGAGGGGTAGCATTTATTTATTTATCGTGTCATCAGCAACCATACCATTGTATTACATTTCTAACAGAACAAAACAAACAAACAGATTTAAAAAAACCCACAGATTTTGCAAACTTGGTAGTTGATTAAATGTCCTTTGACCAGTATCTGGCCACTTGGATGTTGCTGCAAGAAGGTCCTCCATTGTGCATGTGGCAGGGCTCAGGTTGCATTGCAGCAGGTGGTCAGTGGTTTGCTCTTCTCTGCACTCGCATGTCATGGATTCCACTTTGTAGCCCCATTTCTTAAGATTGGCTCTGCATCTCGTGCCAGAGCGCAGTCTGTTCAGCGCCTTCCAAGTCGCCCGGTCTTCTGTGTGCCCAGGGGGGAGTCTCTCATCTGGTATCACCCACGGATTGAGGTGCTGGGTTTGGGGCTGCCACTTTTGGACTCTCGCTTGCTGAGGTGTTCCAGCGAGTGTCTCTGTAGATCTAAGAAAACTATGTCTTGATTTAAGTCGTTGACGTGCTGGCTGATACCCAAACAGGGGATGAGCTGGAGATTTCTCTGCCTTGGTCCTTTCACTATTGGCTGCTACTTCCCGGCGGATGTCAGGTGGTGCAATACCCTAAGCAGTGTAATTTCTCCAGTGGTGTAGGGCGCAGACACCCCGTGATAATGCGGCATGTCTCATTAAGAGCCACATCCACTGTTTTAGTGTGGTGAGATGTGTTCCACGACTGGGCATGCGTACTCAGCAGCAGAGTAGCACAGCGCAAGGGCAGATGTCTTCACTGTGTCTGGTTGTGATCCCCAGGTTGTGCCAGTCAGCTTTCGTATGATATTGTTTCTAGCACCCACTTTTTGCTTGATGTTCAGGCAGTGCTTCTTGTAGGTCAGAGCACGGTCCAGAGTGACTCCCAGGTATTTGGGTGCGCTGCAAGGCTCCAGTGGGATTCCTTCCCAGGTAATCCTCAGAGCTCGGGATGCTTGTAGCATGACTTCCCTGGGGTAGCATGAGTTCCCTGGATCTAAACACTATACTACTATTAACACAGGCCTAAATCCCATTGGCTTTTTTTTGCCGCCGCATGACATTGTTGGCTTGTGTTTAACTTGTTGTCCACATGGACTCCCAAGATCTTTTTCACACATACTGCCTGGAAGCAGGTTTTTCCAGTTGTGGGAATCAGTCGAAACCAGAAACCCAACCTTTCAGATCTGACCTTTGCTGCTTTAAGTACTTTTCAGCTTCAGCTTTCTATACTTGTGAGGGAGATTCTAGGAAACCAAGTTGTTCATTTTTTCCAGTGATTGTGTGTGATTGCTTCTCCAATCCTAAATTGCTAAAGTGCTAAATGTTTTTCTGCTCTTCTAAGAGGAAAAGAAATGTGCATGTTTTGGCCTGAGAGCAGTGAGGTTGCCTTTCCAAACTACCTTTTATTATC